TGGGTAGCCAGAATCAACAAGGTAAAATTGATCTGCATTAAAAAAAAAAACTCACATAGTGTAATACTGTAGATACATTCACAATAAATATTTGTAGTGCAAGAATATACCTCCCCGTGGCATTGGAAAGTTGTTCGATCTTCTTGTAACTGCGTCAACGAATACTCGCGAATTATTAGCAGTGCCTTCCCAACCGGAGTACACAAAAGTGAATTTCATATCGAAATCACATGTTAACATCACATTTTGTGTTACATTTGTTTTCCTTCCACGAAAAGATGTTTGTCTCAATGCAGGTGCCCAAGCTGCGACATGTGTTCCATCTATTGCGCCTATACAATCCTTAAAGAAAGGATATTTTTGCAAAATCCGCTCATGCACAACATCTTGATTTGTGGGCTGGATTATCTCTGTGCCAAATGCACAAACAGCCCTTATCACTCGTTTAACCCATTTGTGTATTGTGTTGTTCGAATGCTGAAACCTATCGCCAATAATACTATATCGGGTAGTGTGCTCTACAATCATCAGAAACATAGCAACACCCTCCTCGACACTCACTTTTTTTCCATGAGCATAAAATATCAATGGATATCTTGTTATTAGATTTGAAACCTAATCAATTCTTGAAGTAAGTAGAGCTGTGAAGAAATTGTGGCTACTTGAAAAAGTCTGATATCCTATATGATCAAGTAAGCAATTTCTCAGCTCCAAACATGTAATATTATATTTCTTCTTGTTTGTTTGTTTGTTGGTGATCACTATTGGTTAAGCCAACAAATATGTTTAAATTGCACTTCTTATGATCAATATTCTTTCTATTTGGAAAACTAATTCAATTTTACCTACTGAAAACGGTAAGAAGAAACAAGGATTGGAAATGGAATACAACAAATGAATGAATAAATAAAAAGAGCAAAACGAAACTCTCCCCCCAAATCTTCATCTTCTTCACCACTCTCACCCATTAACCTCACCTACCCTATCATAGCCTACTTTATCTTCTTCTCCATTCATATTGGACAACACCTTCCTACCAAAGTCTAAACTTCATTTCCATCCGCTTTGGCAACACACTGATAAACTTTCAAGTCATCTCTCCTTTCAACACTCCAAAATCAATCACAAAGATGTGGAAAACACATGAAAACAAAGTTCTCAAGGCAGGTAAGGATATTCAACCTAACTGAAATGTAACAAGCAAAAAAACTGCAATGTTCTGTCTGCCATTCTAATCCGGATGAAACCGTTCAAACAACCAACAACCTCCACCTAATCAATAGATCTAACAATTCCACCTCAAACAATTCCATTCTAATCTTTACAAACCGTTCAAACAATCTGAATATGAACAATTCCACCT